TTCATTTCCTCATCCGCCACATACTGCGGAACCAGAAGGGCTCCCTCCCTGAACTTGGCGGTAATCTCCGCCACTGTCTCTATAGTCAGCCTCAAATCCTGAAACTCACGGGCTAACTGCTGCACCTCAATCACCGGTGCACACTCGGCCTTGAACCTGGCCGAGAAATCGCTCCATGTCATCGCGTCCAACGCGGCATCATCCCCGATAGCATGACCAATCTCCTCCCACCAATCCCGTGCTTTGTCCTTCAGAAGACAGGAGGCGATTCGAACCTTGTCCCCCTCTGGACACCGGCTAGAACGAAAAGCGTTGGCGACATCGGCCAACCATCTGCCACTAGCAATGGCGTCCCTAACCCTATGGTAGTCTGGAGCTCCACAAGCTCTGAACTCCCGGAATGTCAATGTACGCGCTCCCAACATGGCCATCATCTCTGCGCAGAAGGCTCCAAGCCTCTCATCCAAAATCTCCATAATACCCTCCTTGACCGTACCAAAGATCACAGGAGTCTGGTCTAGAATACTGCGCGTAATCTCAGCTGATACAAACTCCCTCATCCGCTCCTCGAGCTGCTCGGTCCCTAAACCCGAGCCTGATCCCTCTCTTACACCTGATCCATCCACTGGTCCATCTTGCAACGTCGCCATGCCATAACAATCATCAAAATACACATCACTACTGAGGGATCACACACACTACAAGTTCCCTAGTTTTATCTCAGCCCCTCTTGAATCGAGTACGGATCCTCTGCTTTCAGTAGTACGGGCCCATACTACCTTCCACATGTATCTGTACTTTCCTCAAGAGTTGCTTCGACTCCACTAAGTCCCTTTCACTACTACCACTGCTCCCAGCACTAAACTCATCCTAGGCCTACCCTAGGGAAATCTCCGACTCAAACCAGTCCTCAGCTGCTGAAGGTCTCCTCGTGATGCCAGTTAGCCATCACCTGAATACCATCACATGTAACGAGGCTCGGATAATCCTTCGAGTAAAGGACTCATCCCTACAACGGTTAAGACTCAAACAAGAGTTGCGCAATAGGGTCAAATCCAGCACTCTAAGATTATTCAACCCTGATTACATGTGACTTAACGTATTCACCTAATAGCTAACTCCCATCACTCAGAATCCCACAAAGCACAGAGCAAGCAGCATTCAGACAAAAGGAAAATCTATCCATAACATAATCAAGCAATCATATTTACATATCAAGAATCTGCACTAGCATGCGATATAAGCTCATATAATCAGGCACAACCTAAACAGGCTATCCTACCACTATTTAACCAATACTAGCATACAGCTCAATAAGCACATATAACATGCATATAAGGCATCCTCCTAGATCCTTAGCCCTAACTCTAGCATGCTTATCACATAATCATATCATAACATAAACTTGTATGGGTAATTTGGGAGAGCTTACTTGAGCTCGGCTGATTGCATGCACCACACCCTTTTCTCTTTTCAAAGTTCTTATTCCTTTTTCGAAATCCTTTTTCTTTTCAAGGTTCTTTTTATAAAAACGGTTTTTCCTTTGAAAATTTCCTTACCAAGCCCTCAGTTTGAGTTCAGTCACACCCGAGAGTGTCCCCGAATCCCTCAAACCAAGGCTCTAATACCAACTTGTAACATCCCAAAAATCATGACCAAAAATTTCTTTTAAAAACACTACTAACCAGAGTATTAAATCATTTTATACATATTAAAAGGGTTATATAACAAATCAGAGTATCTTTTTAAAACACTTATTCATTTTATCAGAGTAAACATCCCAAGCTAAACTTCATGGTGTGTGCCATGCGATCATCCCAAGCTCTTCATTCCGCTACGGAAATACTTGAAACCAAAATTGAAAACTGTAAGCACGAAGCTTAGTGAGTTCCCCAACCTACCACATACCATACATATCTACTGATCCAAACATGCCATACATAACCATGAGCACATAACCATATACTGGGCCCCGCCCGCTGCATCGGGCCTCGCCCGCTATCGGACCCCGTCCGTCATCAGGCCCCGCCTGGCTTCGAGCCCCGCTCGGTGAACATATCTGTTTTCGATAGGCCCCGCCTGTCTCTGCGCCTCGCCCGCCATACACATATATACAATCAAACAACATAATAAAGCATACATAAACCTAATCTAACTGCATCCTGATCTAAGGCCTCGCCTGACTTGGGCCCCGCCCCTGGTCTGCTACTGAAGTAGTGGAACCCCGTCCATACTTCTACTAGTAGTGAGATACGGGACCCCGCCCACACTCACGTCCTTCCTACCTTACTTGGGCCCCGCCCCGGATCTGCTACTAAAGTAGTGGAACCCCGTCCATACTCCTACTAATGGTGAGATACGGGCCCCCGCCCACACTCACGTCCTTCCTATCACGGGCCTCGCCCCTACTCTTCTACTATCGAGATATGGAACCCCATCCATACTCAGCTAGTGGTGAGATACGGGACCTCGGCCACACTCACCTCCCTACCAGGCACATACAAGTATCACGAAGACAACAAGTATATCTAACATGCTACATAAGAATCTTCCTTGGGACTACCCCGGTGTCGGACTCCCGGTCCTGAGACATACTAATATCTAACATACTTCGGGCTTACCCCGACATCGGACCCTCGGTCCTAAACCTATCATATCGACACATGCAAGAATCACAAAGACCTCTAGCATCCTAACATTCCTCGGGCCTCGCCCGATATCAGGTCATAACCCGAAACATATATTAATAAGTGCCTGGGGCTAACCCTCGGGTCTTCCTTCTATACATAAGCATAATCATGCACATAAACATAATGGGTCGGCATTGTGGCCGTAGACCCATGCACACAGTGAGGAGACTCACCTCGCACTGCTGAAGACTCGCTGAACACTTCTAACTGCTAACCGGCACTTCTGAAATGCGGACCCTCCGGCTTCCCGAACTATCAATACCCAAAACAACATTTAGACCACAATAATCCAAAAGTCACCCTGGTCAAACTTGGTCAAAGTCAACGGTCAAAGTCAACTTCCAGTTGACTTGACTCGCCGAGTTGTTCTACCAACTCGTCGATTCCATACTCCTCCAATCCATTACAACCCCCAACTTAACTCGTCGAGTCTAGCAAGAACTCAACGGGTTCTCCTTCAACCATTCAATCGGGACCATCTTCAACCGACTCACCGAGTTGTATGAACAACTTGTCGAGTCCACCTTCATAACTAAGGAGATTGCCTTGGACTCGCCGAGTTCCTCCTTGAACTCGTCGAGTACTATGATCTTCATGTCCATTATGGACCCAGACTGGCTGTGTCCTTCACCAACTCAACTCACTGATCTGACTCATAACCCGAAGGGATTTGGGTTTGCGACCTGACTCCCCGAGTCCATGAACCGACTCGTCGATTCCGCTTTGTGACATCTCTATTCTGTCGATTACAGTCCATTCCATTGCTACCAACTCATAGATCTGGACTCTTCAGGCTAGCATTACACATAAAGTTGCTAACTTTACGTGCATGCAAGGTGCTATGAAGCTAAAACTCTCAATCCAAGCTAAAATGGAGGTCTAGGACATAAAATGGAGCCATAGTTGGATAAAGCTAGCAAATCTGAGCTTCTAAAGCTCAAGAGTGCCCAGATCTGAAGTCCAATACATCCTCAAGGGCTTAATACTCCGATTAACCTCGGAAATGGCCCAAATGTGGCAAAATACAAGCTAGAAAGGGGATCTAGATGATTAACAGTCAAGGTATAAGCTTTATACCTTCAAATGATCTGAAATACCACACCAACTCTGGATCTATAGCTCTTTCTTGCACCACTAAGAGTCTCCTTCCTTCTCCAAGCTTCAAATCACTCACAAAGGCAAGAAACTAGCTTAATACTCCACAAGGTTGATTAGGGTTTCGAGAGTAGGTGAGGGGAGTGATGGAGGCTGGGGTGGAGGCCTGAATGATGCTTGAATAGGGCACCAAGTCCCGAAATTAGGGTTTCCAAACCCAGACCAGACTCGCCGAGTCAGTCTCCCCGACTCGTCGAGTCGGTCACTTAATCTGCGACACGGGACACGCTCCGACTCGTTGAGTTCTTCCTTGGACTCGACGAGTTGACCCCTTTGACTTAGGGTTTTTCTTTCCTTTCTGGGTCTTCTGGATTCCAGGTGTTACAGAATACTTCATCAATCAAAAATATCCAATGATTAAAGCTTACGTCTACTGTTTCACCACTCAATAATTATAGCATATATTTTCAATTTTAGATATTTGCAATTATGATTCTAAAATACTTTCTTTTGCAATTTTGTTTCGTTTTGGAGTAATTTAAAGTTTTTCTTTCTTAGTGAACATTTCGGATTTTGATTCCAAAATGTTCTTTTGCTGTTCTTTATTTAGAAATATTATAATATATTTTGTCTCGTTGTCCTCTAAGTTAACAAATCTAAGTTAACAAATGATTGATGGTAATTTACTTGTAATTTAAATTTTAGAATAATTTTAGTATCTAATGGAAATTGATTCATTCATTATATGTAAATTCAATAGTGTTTTTTTATTTATTTATATACTTGGCTATTTTAGAAGATATTCTTTTATTTAGTGTGTAAGTTGTATTATTAATCGATGCCTTTAATATTTAAATAATTGTACCCGTGATATGAAAAGATGATAGAATGAAAAAAAAATAATTTCAATCATGTGGAGAGACACAAAAGGCGTGTTCGGCACGGAACGTTTGGGAGCTTCTAGCGTTTGACAAAACGCTCCGTTTTGAACAGAAAGCCTTACTCGGCACTACAAGCTTCTAGCGTTTAGTTTAAACAAAACGCTCCAAATCCAAATGCTACTTCATGTAGCGTTTAACAAAACGCTACAAGCTACAAGCTACCTGCTAATTTTGCCGAACACACCCAAATCCTATGTGATGTACCATTTATACTTATCAGAAAACAACAAGAACTTTAAATTAAATAAAGATATAATCAATAACAATATATAACCAATAAAATGCTCATATATCCTCTTCTTGTTACAATTGGTCCTTTAAAATCAACTGTGACTCATCAGAAAGAGATGTTGCCCCTGTGGCTTCCTTCGAAACCCTTGCAATCAACACCTGACTGACTGACTTGACTGACTGCCTTCATTAACTCCTCCACAGCTTACATTTCCTGCCTCTGTTACCCATTCTATCCTACATGAAAATAAACTTGTTATAAACTAACTTTACTACTGACTATAAACCAAAGAAAATATTGATATTAATCACTTCATCCAATATGAAAACAGATTTGTCAAAAATGGATTATATTACTATATATAAACCAAAACAACATACCTGAAGAGGGAAAAGGTAAAGGCTTGTTTTTTTTTACCTAATTAATGTTTCCAGATTACTTGAGTATGAGGGAGAATAATAAGGCAAAATATAATTTTTTTTGTCTCTTTTGTTTCTAGGTATTGATATGTGAGGACAGGATAGTTTATATTAAGACTTGCCATGAAGCAATGGCATCTGATCCCTTCAACAATCCCTATGCATTAGATTCCCTGCAATTTCTAATTTCCCACGTAGAATCTTCCCACCAGCTAAGAACCCAACAGTCAAAAAATGTCAAATTTTGTACTTGGCATCCTTTCAGATATCAACGGATGTCTTCAAAAACATTAAAAATGGTGATCATAAAACTTGTACATCCATCGCTATATGCGAGACAACACGATGCGCATCCATTCAATCTCTTTTTGTCTATCCTATACATGATCAATAACCTACACATCCATAGCAAAAACAATATCAAATTAACACATACAAACATCAAATATGTTTATAAAGATGGGGCATTTATGTACATGAACACGACTGGAAAAAATTTATGCCTTACGAATTCTATCTTGGTTGAAAACTATATGAAAACCACATATCTAAACCACTAAAAATATACAATGTTACCATCTTAATTAAAAAACCACAAAATTGAAATGTAACATACCAAGTGTCTCATAACAGGAACCTCATGTATCCAGTTTTTGCAAGAAGTACTTCCAAAAAGCCAAAATGATCAACATTGGGCTTAGATTCCAATGTTTTCTGAAATCAATTTAAAAACCTCATGTAGTTTGAAAAATAGTTACGCAATAGATCAATATAACTTTCTTATCAAAAAATAAATCAAATCAAAACTGATCAAAGTCGTAGAAATTCATAAAAAAGAAGAAAAAACACATACATACAATACATCCATGGATATGTAGAAGTTTCCTGCAATAAAAGAATCATTCATGGTCAGGGAACATAGGAGCATTTGGAGTTTCTTGTTCAAGCTTCAATTCAGCAATACATAGATGGGATCAACAAGAAAACCAATAAAAATAGAAATTCGTATGAGAATGCATATAAACATTAAACATATATTGAAAATGGGGATTAGCATTTGAGAGTGAGAGAAGGGCAGACCGTGGTGGTAGACGACAGAGAGGAGAATGTTAGGCTTTGCGATGGGTGTGATAACGATAGTGAGATGTCTTTCGCGCTGCAAGGTGTGTGGTCGTGTTTTGGTGTGAAGTCGTGCTGCTGGTGGGTAGTTGTCCAAGGGCGTAGCCAGTGTCGAGTGCATTGATTATGGTGGTGGCACACAGTAATCGAAGAACGAAAGAGTTTGGAGACGAAGTAGGTTCATGCTGGGGAACTGAGGTTGAAGAAGAGACACGACAATGTTAATGGTGTGCAGATGGGGGACTGTAACAGAGAGCACCTCCATATACGCTCCACACATCCATGATGCTTGTTGCTAGATCTAAAGAAAGGTGGGTTGTTGAAGGCGGAAACATGGGTAGATGCTGACCTGGAATCCTTGGTTTTGCGGTCATCTTCACTGCTGAAACTTTAGGTTTATACAGAGAATTTGAGATTTTAGGGTTTCAATTGTATTTTTGAAATTTAAAATGTTAAAATTGGTCAGTTATGCATTTAAGTAGGATGACGGATTCAACGATTGTTAAATAAATAAGGCATATCCAACTCACCCCCAAACTCCATTTCTTTTCCCATTTTCTCCAACCCTACCCCCAAACTCTATTTCTTTTCCCATTTTCTCCAACCCTACCCCATCTTTATAAACATATTTGATGTTTGTATGTGTTATTTATTTTTAGTTTCTCTATTTTTAGTCTCTCTCATTTTTATTTTATATATTTTTAGTTTATTTTATCTACTAATTATAATTTAAATGCAATATTTAATATTTATAATATTATGTTATATACTAATTTATATTAATTAATCATAATATAGAGTTTAATTAGTATAGGAGTGTATTTGACAATATATATAAGTCATAAAATGGAATATTCTAATAATATATTTTTTTTGGGTAAAAAATGGGGTAGAAAATAAAGTATGTTTGGAGATGAAACACTATTTACTCTATTTATGGGGGAAAAATGGAGATGGTCTAAGTATAGGTTCCGATATACGTGTAAACGATAAAAGATAAAAGAGGTTCCAAAAGTTATGCATTAGATAGTTGTAATCTATGTTTTATATGTAGGACAAATTCAAAATGTAAATAATATTATAAAATTTTAATATTATTTTATTGATGGTTAATTGTACTGTTAGCTTAATAGTTTTGACGTCTTAAAAAAATAATATTATTATATTCAATATATTTTTAGAAATAGTGAGATTTCTTTTATAAGATAGTAAAGATGTGGATATGGAATATACATTACAGCCTCACCTAAGCTTAGGTACTAAACCTCTAAAATATGTCGTTTGAACTTGCTAAATATACTCAGTTTGGTTTCACTTGGTAAATATATCATCCTCCATAACATTTCTTTATTTCATTATCGTTTTATCATCTCTGTTTTCTTTCCTTCATTATCGTTTATTATTTCACCCAAGTGAACATTACTAAACCATAAACCCTAAACCTAAACTCTAAACCCTAAACCCTAAACCCTATTGTATCGATCTTGAATTTACATCTTGAAGTATTAATCATGAATCCATTAACCGTAATCTTTATATAGTAAAACAATGTATTTTCAAGAGGTTTAGTACCTAAGCTTAGGTGGGGCTCTAATGTATATTCCCTTTTCCGTATATATATATATATATATATATATATATATATATACACACACACACTAGTTGTTTACCCGTGCTAAGCGACGGGTGACGAATAGTTTGTTTCGACAATAATTCATTCGGGAATTTATTATATTTTTAGGAACACACAATAGATATGCACTGTTATTAGATGGTTTTGCAGCAAAGAATAGTTGTAACCCTAGTAATAAATTAAAAAAATGAAATTTTAATGTGCAAGTTATTTTGATAAGTTATGTTGATAGCCATTCCCTTTAGAAATTATGGTGCATTTTATTGTTTTTCTTAATTTGACATATTCTTTTATTAAATTGGCCAACAAAAAAAGAAGCCAAGGGGGTATTCGTATTTCATGTTTTGTCTATCAAATGTCATCTAATGTATATACATTATAATATACACCTCGATAACTCAATAGGATAGATAGTTAATAGTTTATAATAATTAGACATCAAAAAGTTAAAAAAAAAAATTAAAAAACCAAAAATACCACTTGCATTTATTATTTTATAGATTACGAATTCATGTTTTTTTAATAAATATCATATTTCTATCATTCAAGTACATACATGTTAACAAAATTGATTATAAGGGTTTAAATGATAAGTTTTACCCATTTTCAAATAAGGCTAAAGTAGATAGATGACTTTATATAAAGTCGGGTTTGCATGCATACCCCTCAAAAGGGTATTTTAGTCATTTGTCACTCAAATATGTCAATTCACACAACATTGAGAAAAAAATGTATTGTGCAAAAAATTTGACCAACGATACCAAGTCATTTACAAAAGTTAGTTGCTAAAACAAAAAATTGATAAGCAATTCTAGTCTAGAATTAATAAAACAAAAAATTGATCTTTAGCAATTGGGTATATTCTATATTTAAATTCGGATAAGAAGATTTCAGTTGAAGACATAACCAATGAGAACTTCTTTCATTAAATTTCCAGTTTAAACAAATACTGAACTTTAACATTAATATACCCCTCCCTTACAACATCGACACACAAATACAGTCACATACACACATATTCACTCTCTTCTAGATATAAGAGAGTAGTAAGTACAATACATAATAAGCTGTTTTTTATAAGATTCAATGTTAGTTGATGTTGTTGGTGTTGATTTGTAGTCTGGTTAAAGATTGAAAGTTAGTTATTGTTCTTTCCATTATGAGCTTTTTTTGGTGGAAAGAGAGCAATCTGTTAGCAATAAACATATCTAACTGTGTGATAGGTTGTAGAAAATTTATCTCAAAATACACTTGGAATTATTAGATCAAAGGCATGTTTGCAAGGAAGAGGAAGTTCTAGGGATTGTGATCTACACAATCATTTAGCTATGTGATTTCAAATGTCAACTTGGATCCTCTTTAACCTTCTTGAAAACATCATGACAAATAGACAGCTGAAAACAACTCATCAACAAAAAACGGGTAGTGTAGCAAGGGAGGGGAATAAAGAAATCATCAAAACTAAAACTCAAATAAATAAAAACAAATCTCAGCTGATGAATTAATTTAAAAAATAAATAGAGAATTACAGATTCCTTTTGCTCGAAAATCTAAAAATATACATTTTCCCCTTCAATTCCATTCCTCTGTTTTTCTTTTCAATTCGTAAATATTTTTGTTTCTTAACCATCTTTTGTTTCCGTTGAAACTATAAAATAAAAAAATAAAAATAAAAAAACCAAACTAAACTCAAATTAGGGGTAAAGTAGGAATGAAACTGAGATAGACAAAAGACGATATTTTCCATTGAAACATGTTGTACCACGAACCTGTAGTGAGAAAGAAAGCAATTTTGTGCCCCGAGAATGCCCTAATCTACATTTTGTCTATATTTTCATGAATATGTCGGAAAAAAAAAAGGAAAAAGTAAACAAAACCGAATGTCAAATGATAAACGGCTAATTATAGGGGAAACAAAATTCAGAGTAAAAGAGTGATATGTACCGATTCTATTCTTGTTCTAGCAGATTGATGTCTCTAATCTACATCCGATGAAACAACTCTTTTTCTATAAAACAAATACACCATCTATTCTATTTTCCTTAAGCCTTCCACCTTGTCTAGCTGCTTGGAACGGAAGATTCAATATGTGTTTGACAGCAAAGTTGGGTCAAGATAAGAAAATGACTTACAAAATGTATGTATAGTATTAATCATAAGAATTACTTAATTTGAAGGATTCTTTTCTATGTTTGGAGACATCTACAATTTTTAAAAATTAATGAGATGTAAAAAATCAATCACAAAATAACGAAGTTTATCAATAGAAATAAAGGACCGGAGACACCATACCATTAATATAGCACCAGGAAACAACCAACTCATATTTAATGAAAACTACAAAAGAAATAGGAGCAAATTTGTTAGTAATCGTAAATTATAGTTAATAGCAAACCCCAATCATCAAGAAATCACGAAAATAACCTTTTAATCACACCTAATAACATGATTGTTTTAAACATAACAGGAGATAGAAGCCGATTCATGGTTGAGAAGGCGGGTCTGTTATATCCACATCTATCTTTCTCAACTGGAAATCAAGATCTGGGCTGAATTCATAATTCAAACCTCATATTTCTTGGATTCAAAAATCAAACACATAAATAGTCAATAGTAGAAATCATAGAAAATAATTACCGAATTGATAAAACGTTTTAGGTGAAGATCAAAAGAGTAAGAAGAAGGACGTAAATCGTAGGAAATCCAGTGATTATTGATTAATCTCTGCTAAAATTGGGATCTATTCGAACTTTTGTTATGACTTGGAAAGTGATTTGCCGAACTGGGTTGGGGAAAAGAAGAAGGTGACTTCAATTTGATAGGGAGCCAAACAGTGAGACATAGAGACGGTGCGTTTGGAGGTTGGCGGCTAGGGTTTCGGGAGGTGAATGGTGGTGAAGGTCGTCCGCTATGGAAGAGAGTAGTGGTGGCTACGTTAGTTGATGAAGGAGATGAAAAGGGTGAGGAGCAAGCATTAGATCATTTGTGTCTAGGTGTTCAGAGAGTTGATGTTGAGTTTTGTATATAAGATTAGTTCGGATAGATATGAAGCGGTGAAGTAACAAATCTCCTTTATTCTTTCCGTGCTTACGGTTCTTTTGCTTTGAACCAGTCTTTGATCTAAAATTTGGGGATGCCGACAGATACGAGGAGCTGTATTATTTTGTTTGACTTTTTCTATGGTTACCATATCTGATTTTCAATGCATAAAGTTGTTGTATATAATGCATTAAGGGTTATACCTCTTAAAATTCAGTATTTGAGGCTAAATGCTTATTAAGGTGTATATATATATATATATATATATATATATATATATATATATATATATATACTAGTGGGGTACCCGTGCGTTGCAGCTGTCGAGGAATCGTTTCATTTCGAAAAACATATCATATTCCAAACAACATATAATATACGGATGGGAATTTGACCCAGAGAAATTGGATCGGACCGGAAAAAAACGAAACCCAACTCGACCTGGTATTTGGTTCGGTTATTGGTTCCATTTGCCACTATTCTGGTTCTTCAGTTTTCGTTTCGGTTTGGGTCGGGTCCGGAATCTAACACATCCCTAAAGAACACAAATTCTTGTAAAACCGAAGCGGAACCAAAATCGGGATATTCGGCCCGGTTCTCAAATTTCCGTTGAATTAGTTCTTGTTTCTTTGTTCTCGGTTCGGTTTAGTCTTGTTCCGGACCGATACTCACCTATAGTATAATGTATCGACATATATCATT